CTAATCTGTACTAGATTTATCATTGCCTCCCTTTATACAGGTGCAACTTTTATATCTTTATTGTAAGTATCTTTGAACAATACATGACAGTATATACAATAGGTTACAGCACTTTTAATCAATTGTGACCATACTATTTACTTTGCATAGAAGTTTATAATCTATATTTTACTTTTATATATAAATCTTATTTAAGTCACCTAACAGGGCTGGGGATTTAGCTCTGCCTGGCAAGTGTAAGGTCGTGAGTTTGATTCCTAGTACTGGGAAAAAAAAAAAAGTCAGATAACAGATCCACTCTACCAGTCAGGAAATGAAAATAAAAAAGATTAAATGGCAACTTAGTAAATAATGGAGCTAGAAATCACATCCATTTACAGTATCTGCCTTCCAGGAGGCATATTAAATTTTTACACATGTATTAGTTTTTAAATGAACTATATTTCTTTTTAAAGAAATGTACTAATTCACTAATTTCTTAAAAACAATTGCAATTAATATGCTCATCATTTGTCTTTTTAGTCTTTTTTATGTTCTTTACCATTCTAAGTGCTCTTTTTTTACATGAACTTTTTTTAGAGTTTATGATATGGTTACAAAATAATATCTACATCAATTTATATTCTAAGGACATCTTTATAATGACATATTTTCCTATGATAATGGTCATAATTATTATCTTTAAAAGCAGAGGTAGCATATAATTTACTTTTTCCTTTCCTGTACTAGAGATGAAACCCAGGGACTGCATATGCTATGTAAGCATTCCACATCTTAGCTACATCCCTAGCTAGTCTATTCATATATATATATAGTTTTTTCTTCTGTATGTATGATGTACTTTGATAATTAACTCATTTGTAACATAAAAAACTAGGTGATGAAAGCTGAATCTTAATTTTATGACACTGACACTTCTATTTGATTTAAAACCAAATACTGAAAAAAATGCAGCAAACCTACAAAATTCTTTAAAAAAACAGTCACATAACCTAACTTATCTCACTGAAATAAATATCTACTTTTAAATGCTACACATAATAGTTCCCTATTTGCTACAAATATACTCTGATTACTTAGACAACTTTAACACATATCTGTAGTATACAATGTATATTTACCTGACCCACTTACATTACAAAATGCTATTAGTTACTGTCATCATTTGTAATCAGAAACTGTGGATTCCTTCTTCATGTTTTATATAAAAATAGTGTAGCACAGTAAGCATCACTAATATAGTAGAAGTGGGTACATGCATATGTCTGTGCATTCTATTTATACTTGAAGCCAATTAAATAACATTTTATTTCAAAATATTAACAAAGAATATAATTCTTTTCTATATCGTATGAAATCACACATTATATAAGCATCTTACACACCAGTAATATGATTAATTACACAATAACAAGCATTAATTCTATTTCTGCAAAGAATTTTTGTGCAATTTTAAAATATACGCATTTCATTTATATATTAATCTTGACTTTTATATTACAAAGGATAAACACTGAATTTTATGTTATCATTTTCTTGTAGCCTCTACTAATAGCTTTTAACTAGTACATCAAATATCAGTTATTTACTGACCTCAAGTGGTAATCTCTACACAAAAAAATTCAGTCTCCAATTACCACTTTGTCCCTTAGAACGATATACATTTAACATGAAGTTTTTCACAACTACAAGGTCATTTAAATATATCAGTAGTTCCAAGTGCACACACAGCAATGAATGAAAGGAATGACACAAAGATCGGCACAAGAAAACAGTAATCTCTTTTTGAATAAGGGATGTGTAACATGTCAAACATTCACTTTCTGAAATACTACTATCGCTAGTCTCTTCATTTAAAACCACATTTCTGAACAGAGTCCATCATACAAACAGCTTTGCTGATTTCTTTCCAAATTCAAATATAATTTTTCTCTTCTTTGATCTGAAATATATCAAAGTTCTCACAAAACAGTTATTTTTGGCAAAAAGGCAAAGGAGTTTTAAAATGTTGCCTGTATAAAAACTGTTTGGATTCTCTGAAAGAGAAAAACATATGTGTAGTATCTGAGAGGCTATTTGGAAGAAAAAAACAGATGAGGCATTTTAAAAACGAAAAATGTTCCCAGTCAATGCTTCTTTTATCGCAACATGCAAGACCACAATTAGGATTCAAAAAGTTTGTCAGCAACAAAATCCTATTTTATCCCCTCTAGTGGTTATGCCAGTTATGTTAGGGTTATATAAAACCATTTTCTTCCAGTACCATCCCTAAAATGGAGCAGTCAGAGCAGTTAAAACTGAAATCTGACCTACTTCTTTTCTAAAGATTTTCATGTATTTTATATTTAAGAACTTCTTTTTACAAAAACGACTTTCTTCCTCACACACAAACAATGTTAACGGAAATATACTAGGCAAATACCTTTCTCAATGTCAAAATAAAAATCACATACAATTACTCTAATTTTTTCTCCAACAGTGCACTGCTTACAATACTTTTTAAACATTTATCAGCTTTACTAGATATTGCAAGTTTACTATTATCCTGAATAAAACACCACTAAAAAACTACATTTTTTTGGCCTTTTTTTTTTTTTTTTTTTTTGACACAGGGTCTCACTGTGCAGTTCAGGCTGACCTTGAGCTCACTCTGTAGCTCAGGCTGGTCTCAAATTTGCAATGTTCCTCCTGCCTCAGCATCCTGAGTGCTAGGAGTACAGATGTGCACCACCACACCAGGCTTAAAAAAAATATTCATTTGGAATACATTAAACAAGTGTAAGTCAACTCATTAGCCTCATGACTAAGTTTGAGAAAACATAAATACAAATTTTAAAAGGTAATTTATTTGGGAAAGAGAACCTTGCTATTTGTAATGGTGTCACAATTTTCTATTCTCTTTTAGCAATGAAGCCTTATCTTCCCGAGAGGAAAGAAGGTTGACAAATTAGACAAATTAATTAAATGCCATTAAACATGTCAAAAAGAGAAACCTAACTTTTAAGGTTTCTTAAAACTCTCAATTTTCACAAAGTAAAGGAAAAATGCATTTCAAGTAAATTCACAAGTGTTGTGCAGCAACACATTCACAGGCTTTATAGCTTTCTTAAAACTCAAATACAGACTGTAGTTTTCCTATACTGCTTCTGGAGACATCAGTAACAAGTTCAAAAAAAATTTCAAACAAAGAGGAAGAAAGCACGCAGTCTTATAGAAATTATAAGACAGCACAGTACTATGAACACTTTTACAATACATGATTTTAGTAACAAATCAGTTCTTATGTTTATTCATTTATAAGACTGCTAACTTCATTTTTCTTAACTAAGGTTTAAAAGTATAAAAATATAACATATATATTCACTATACTTAACTATCTACTTAACCATAATTTCCACTGAACTAAGTGGGGATGAAGGAGTTATACAAATATTCATAAATAAATCAACTTCATGATCTCAAGCATATCACAAAATTTTATACCGTATCTCATAATATAAAGGAAATAAATGTGACAAATACTATAATAATGGACTTTAGTTTCATTAAAATAATAAACTTTACCAACTAGACAATTACCTTAACATCCACATTCTTTAGAGTACAGCAGAAATAAAATCACCCCAACCTCATGAATACCGTAGCAGTATCACACAAAAGCTCAGTATGAGGAAATACTAAGAGAAACTCTAGTACAAGTGTACTCCAAACTGATAACATTCCCTATGTGTAAACAATACTTAATTTAAGAGCAGCTAAAGATATACAGAATACTTTTGACAGACATAGTCTAATAAATACAGAAGAAAGATAAGGATAAAAAGATGGCATATATCCTCCCAAGTATTTATCATCAATCTTTGATTATTACTATGTGGAGGTCTTTTTAATATACATTACTACAATTAACCGCAACATATACATTAAATGCTTTGTTCTTAAGTGCTGGGATGACAAGCGGTAATGCTTAATAAAAATCAAAAATATGAACATGCAAATTATAAACACAAAGCACTAGCATTTTATAAACAAAGCTAATACTATAAAAAGAACTGGAGCAGCAGAGCAGACAAGTAAATCTGTAGGCAGTACTAGGGACTGGAAACTGTAAGTTAAAATTCAAATTAAGATATCCAGTCTTCAGACAAGTTAGTCATAATACTCACATCTCCCAACTATAGTGTTAATTTTTCCTTCCTACTTTTTATTATAAATTAATGTTTAGACTCTTGCTCTCTGGCTAATAAATACAAGTCACTTTTTTAAAGCACAGACTACTATATAGGAGCATGTATTTTGTGTTTATAACAAAACAACTCAACAGGGAAGACAGGTATTAAAAGTTATCCTAGTTTTAGCGATAAAACTAAAATTTTTAGAAGCTTTAAAAGTGAAAGATAATGATGTGGTTTGGGCTCAGAAAACAAATTTAAGGAAAAATCAAGATAAACCTAATTAAAAGATTTTTCTATATTTTGTTTATAGAAAAGGGAAGTAACATTTTTGCAATACACCCATTCTCAAATTCTTGCTTTCTGTCTAACACAGTGTGTAATAGAAGGTGACAAGGATGACGATGATAAAATGACAAACAGGAATGGAGTCAATGCAAATGCAGTGAGCCAGTCTTAACTTTTAAGAAGATAGTGATTTCTATGAACATTTTCATTAAGTAGTAAGCCTGAAGTATGGGCAGATGTAGAAACTGTCTATGGCATTGTCACTCAGAGACAGTTCTTCAATAAAGCCTAACTAAAAAGATATACACATATATTTTTGCTACATTTAAAAGCCTCAATTTTTGCAAATTTATTTACTGTCTTAGAAAATCTCTTTATCACAATAAAGGTCCAAACTTCCATCAGTTCTGCTAAATAAACAGAGCTAAATCATACTGGCCAATATTAATGTCAGCCTAGAAAAGGAAATCCTAACACCAAAGTGCAATAAATCTGGAAAATCAGTAATTCTCAAAAATTTACTGGTTTTTCAACACTTACGGCTATCGTAACATATGTTTCCCAGAGCCCTGCCTGTTTGAAGCAGCACTTCCTGGTCTTTGCTATTTAGCAGCTGTACCAGTGGTGAAATCAATCCAGCATCCACACATGGAATTCGCATAAATTCTGGAAATAAGAGACATAACTTAATTAAAAATCAAAAAGTTCACAACTTATATAAATCATCTCCCTTAATAAAATAAATCCTTTGTGCTGACAGTTGGGGAGAGGACGCTACCTGGTTGTGGGGTCCCAGTGCAATGGGAGGCTGGAGAGAAAACGTTACAAAAAATGGCTTTCGCCTGAGACGGCTCACTTGATTTTTGACAACCCTTAGGCTGTAACTACTTGGTAGATCCTTCTTGCACATCTCTGCCTTCCTGAGAAACCACCTTGAAGATACCACCATGTATTACAGCAGCCATTGATATTTTCCTACTAATCTATCCATAACTCTGCAATGTTTACATTATTCCTATCCTATTTCGTAAATGGATGCATGTCTATCATTACATGTTTCCTACAACAACCACTGAGAAAAGTTAATGATTATTCAATAGGTCACTCATGTATAGCTCTATTTATTTTCTTTAGGAGCCACTTTGAAGATACCAAACTATAGTACAACAACTATTGATAATCTCTTACCTCTTTTGTCTGTAACTCATTATTATTTGTCTATTTGTTTTCCTGAGAAACTATCTTGTAGATAACAATATGTAAAACAATAACCATTGATAATTTCCTACCACTTTGTCTGTAATTTGGTAAGCTCCCCTACTATTATGTTATCCTTCTTTTACTCTTTAAAATAAAAAATAAATAAATAAATAATAAAATAAATAAATCCTATTAAAACAGCTAAGGTGGCTTGGATTTGAAGAGTATATTTCTGTTCAAAATACACTCAGCTACAATCCAATTAAATATGTCATGAAAGAAGTGCACAAAACATGAGTGGGGTCTTATTTTTCTTGGTTGGTAAACTCTGCCATAAAGAGAAAGGATTTTTAATTAACTTTCATTATAACTAATTTATCATTACCTTCTCAGAACAGGTGAATATGTTTTGGAAGCAGTATGTCATGATGGTAGTATTCTTTATGTGAGTCTGATAATTAAAGTACCATGGTTAAAAACTAAGCTATTGAATTGCCTACTTTTTCACCATATGTTGTCAAAAAAGCCAAAATAAAAATTTTGAAAAAATTTTCAGTGAATCACTATCAATAGTAGGTCCTTTTTCAATTGGTAAGAGCTTGGGGAATCATGTTCTTATATTATTTTTTAAAATCCATTTTATGGACAATTTATATCTGTAGTTGTATCCATGCATTTATAAATCTAAAGTACCGAATATCCACCTTTTTAATACTTCAAATTCAATTTCCCTCCTTTTATAGTGTACAATTCTCTATTGAGTCCCAATGATTAGAAATAAACTTTCTTTTTACAGTGCCTCATAAGGAACCATTACAAAATTTAAGGATAATAAAGACACGTAGTTGATGAAAGTTCTCCAATAACTAATGGTAGAAAAAAATAATCATATTAGAACTGCATTCTGGACATCACAATTTACCATCAGGATGTTCTGGTAATAAAGGTAATCAACAATGAGCTAATTCTTCAACTTATAATTTGTTCTACTAGATATTCCTCTCTACCAAAAAAAGGGTTTTATCCCTATCATATCTCGTAGTTATCACTGTATTACTGAAAAACTTTCTCTCTGGTTGTGTATGAGGTGTCTGTGTTTGAGACAGGGTCTTGCTGTATAGTCCAGGCTGGCCTCAAACTCACAACTGCCTTGTCGCAGTCTTTCAAGTATAGTCCTCCCTCTCTTTCTGTTCTTTTCAGATTCTCTTGAGCATATCAGATAGCGGTATAAGGGTGTGTGTGTGTATATAAGGGGTGTGTGTGTGTGTGTGTGTGTGTGTTTTACTGGAGATGAACCCAGGGCCTTTGCACCAAGCTACATCCCCAGCCCTTTATTTTTGAGACAGAGGCTGAGGCTGGGCTTGAACTTACAATCACTCCTGCTCAGCCTCTCAAGAGTGCTAGGAGAGGCATGCATCATCACACCTGGTTTATTTCCTATTTGGAAAGCTAATATTTATCACTGATAGTCAAAACTCAGTAGTATGAGGTACCCTACCACCTGTCAGGAAAATGAGTTATCAGTAGTATGAGGTACCCTACCACCTGTCAGGAAGATGAGTTATACATGTCTATGAATTCAGTAATAATTCAATAATCAATCTTCAGGAGATAATACATCAATCCAATTGTAGGCACATAAGAGTAGATACTGCTAAGAATTACTGTTATTATTATTATTATTATTACTAGGTACTCTTAGAGTCTACTTAACAGGAAGACATACTCATAGACACGGTCTTATTTATTTCTCCACTGTCTCAAAGTCTATAATATAGAGGAATTTTTTAAAAGGTCTAACAATCTTTTATAATTTATTATCAGAGCTATCCTTTGACTTTAAATTGACCCAGGAAATATCTAATACCCTGTATTGTAAATGACAGCACACAGATATGCTAAATTTAGACTCTTTTTGTATGCAAAAATTTAAACATATTTTGTGTTTAATCTGAATCTATGAAGTATATGTTAATATATCTCCTGTCATTATATAATATGCACAGTAAAGATAAACTTCCAACTTCATTTTTTCTAATTCATACAATCTGTTTCATTGTCAATTAACATACTCTGTTGTATAATGTTGAGTTTCTAATGGAATGTATCTGTGTTAAAAAGAACACACTCAAAAAGATTCTGCTCTATATTTTCAGCCAATTGCTTCAAGCAATACAGTAATTAAATCTATCTAAAATTTCTAAACTTCTATAGTATTTTTGCCCATTCTAAGAAAAAATGTTTTAAGATAAAGACTGAATCTCTGATTTCTGGAAATCTATACTACCACTCTTAGTGAGGTTAAAAAAATAAACTACTAATCTTAAAAACCAAACTGCTTTGTATCTAGGAAGATTCAGGTAGGAGTTCGTCTAAGTTAGTGGTGGCGAATCCATGGCATGGCAACACAGCAGGCTGTTTGTTATCACTGAAAGCACTAAAGGTTCACCATTACTGGTCTAGGTTAACAATGTCTAAAAAAGTTCTATTTTCAAACTAGATCTGCTTCACAGATGTGACACACCAATAATAGGCCAATTTTCAGTTAAAAACAACCGAAATATTATTTACCAATATAAAACCTGAAAAGGTAAGCTCTCCAAAGACAATGAAGATGAATGCTTTAATGACAAGCTCCAGAATTCCATACCCAAAGTAAAGAATGATACAAACATAGCTAAGACTAGCAGTGCTTTCCCTTAATTTTACTTTGAAGGAATGGAATAGCAAATGGGAAATGTATCACTAAAACAACTACGATTAGTCATTTAAAACAATTACATGAAAAATGTCCAACACAGAAATAGAAAAAACTCTAATCTATAAACTTAAAACAGAGACTAATAAAACATATTGACAACTGTGGTATAAAAACTGAAGATGTTCCCAACAGAAAAGTTCTTGAGGTAAACCTCACCATTTTTGGCTACTTCTGCTATGATGTTAGCTACTTTGGCTGTGCAAGAAGACTGTGGAGACAAAAGACTTGCAAACAGCTGAAGTATTCCACTTGCTTGAATTTTTTCACTTGTTTCTGTATCTGAAAGGAACAAAAAACTGCCATGAAAATCTTTACTACTAATACCAACAAGATCTACAATGAATTGAAGACTTTAAATACATAAATGAAATTAGTTTCAGCATACACTCAAATATATGTTTATATAAAATTACCTTCTCCACAAATTGCTTTTGTTTTAACCTGCATAACACACATAATACTGTACATATAGACAGATATAAAGGAATTTCTTTATGAATGCATCACTTACCTAACAAAATTACTTTCAGTATCAGTTTCAACTCTGTTCAGAACAGGAATGCTTTTTCTATGTCTCTTCTCAACTCATAGAGCTATAACAACATATTTTACATAAATTCTATCTGTCCCTATAATGCTATCACAATTTTAAAAATGGCAATAATAGGGCAGGAGATGAAGCTCAGGAGCACAGCATTTGCGTGGTAAGCACAAGGCCCTAGGTTTAATCTCCAGCAGTGAAAAAAAAAAAAAAAAATAGAAAAAGTCAATTACAATGAGCAAAATCCTATATATCATATGAAGAAATGAATGACAGCTGAGATTATACAGCTCTACATGTTTTTTATACAACTCATTCAAACTGTCATGAATGAGGAACAGAAACAGTAAACAGTAAAATATATGGAATTCTGAAATCTACTTGATGATACAAAAAACCAAGAGGTCCCTAATTTCTTTCCTTAAGAATCTACAAATCAAGCTATTTTAGGTACCTGCTATTAATAACAGGTATATCTGGAATGATGAAAGAAATAAAGTTCAAGAAAATGAAACTGCTATTTGTTTATAAACAATAAAGAAAAATGATATGTAAAGATTTTAAGCCTCATTAAATTGAAAATTTGGGGCTGGGGATTTAGCTCAGCAGCACAGCGCCTGCCTGGCAAGCATGAGGTCGTGAGTTCAACTCCCAGTACTGGAAAAAAAAAAAAAAAAAAATTGAAAATTTGTTTCTAGGTATGACTACTCTATATCCTGTAAGTCCTTATATATATATATACAATTAATAGGAAACACTATGTTTCTTGTTACATAAACACAGGTGATGTGACCAATAGAGCAGGAAAATAGTTTTTAATGGGATAATTTCAGAACATTCAAAAAATGTTTCTTTATATACATGTTGACTGCTTAGTACAAAGTTTTTCAAACTGCAGGTAGGTTACCAACTTATTAGTGAGCTCTAATTTTTTTTGTGTGTGTGACTGATGATCAGTTATTTTTTAAAAAGAGAAACAGGATTAACATCTACAACAACAGAAGAATAGGAAAATACTGCACAAGGGAAGGGGAAACACTTAGGTGAATCTTGGGTTGATTTATGTATATGGATGTGACTGTACATATATGTATTCTCTTATATGTATAACACATTTCTAATCATGAGCTCTGAACAAAAAATTTTATTTTTTTTTTTGGTTTTGGTTTTTCTCCGGTACCAGGAACCGAACTCACGACCTTGCGCTTGCCAGGCAGGCGCTTTTGCCGCTGAGCTAAATCCCCAGCCCCACAAAAAATTTTAAAACCGTTATTCCATGTACCTCTTCACTACCTAGGGTTTTGGATTAAAGAATTGTAACATCCCTGGTATACACGTTCATATTTGTATTAAAAAATAAGTTGCTATGTTAAAACCCTTTTCTTTCTGACCATGGCTAGTAGAAGATATATAACCTGAGAACACTGGGTCTGAATGCCCCAGGGTCTAGCTTTACCATCTGCCAGTGCTGGGATGACAGCAAGAACCTGGCACAGAGTATGACACATGATTAGATGTGAACCTAGGGCATTTGTGTTTGTGGAGGTGAGCTAACTGCAAATCACTCATGCGTGCCTCATTTTAACTGTAACTAAAAGAATGGCTAAACATCAGAGCTGAATGTTAGGGACAAGGGGAGAACAACAAAACAAAGGTAAATTTCACACCCTGATGAGACTTTCCTCAGATTACAATTCAAGGATTTGGGAGGATAGCTGGGTTAAAACAGAATTCTAGAATTTGGGAACGGTATCTGGTGGCATGCAGGCTTCTATATAGGTTTAGAATTTATTTTTAATAGGTTTAGAATTTAAACATCTGAGAGTAATCTTTTCCCTTTGCCATTAAAAAAAAGAACAAGGGCAACCCACTTGGCATCCCTCCTTGACTCAGGAGCTGCTCCTGTTCCCCAATAAAACTTTTCTACTGTTAAAAAAAAAAAAAAAAAAAGAATGAAATATTGCTCTAGCACTAAAACTTCAACACCCAATAACTACAAGGTTCTGACCTCACTTCAAATGTATTTTCTATGCTGGCGTTCTACTGGATCTGAAAATGTATATTTACTTGTGAACTAACAGATGTTCTAGTATCTGTAAGCACCCTTCAAATTATTTTAAAAGAGCATTACAAAGTAATCAGAGATTGATGTTTCCAAGTCCAAATAAATAGCTACTTGCAAGCATAATAAAACAAACAAAAACCCAAACATGTATTAGGATCAGTTTTTATAAAAGCATACAATACTTTTCATTGTATTTAGCCAGATTACTACTGACATTTTAACTGCAAGAATCATCTCCTTCCCCCTTGATGCTGACTTAGGTGCAGCCATAAAAAAATGTTTTGAATATATTCCCAAATTATGGGCACCCAGAGGTCCTTGAATTCTGAGGGACCCATTCCTGAAGGGTAAATGCTATAAGTACTCTAAAATAGTGGCTATGGGAGCTACTGTGGGACTCAGACCCATTATCTTCATGAGAACTCTACCTCTACTCTTGCACCTACCTTCTGATAAACAAGGAGGCAGCTTAGTTACATACTTCAGCCTGGGCAATCAGGCCACAGACACTTGAAAGGAGTAAATCAAGATGACAAACTACAGTGTTGTACGGGGAGTAGTTCAAACAATGCATACAGGAGAAGGAAATAGGTGGAATGGGAAGCAACTCATAATTTGCAATCATGGTTTGAGGAAGGCTGAGATTCTCAACAATGCTGCCAAGTAAATACATTTAAGTAATTAGCTTTAGTGAAACACCAAGAGGGACTTCTCAGGCATATTACCACATTAAGCTGAAATTATGATATATTATCATAATTCATAATAGACTTCATAATAGAATAACAACTACTATCTTGATACTGTGTGTGCTAGAGATCCTGATGGCAGACTGGAGAAGAAAGGTTTTCACTGTGGACTCAGATTTGGAATTGACTACAAGGACCAGTCATATGACTCAAAGGACCATACGTATCCTGTTCTCTGGAGATTATATATTTCTTCAAGGGTAGATTTTATAAATAAGGTGTAACCAGCAACCTAGCTGTAGCCAGGTGTGGTAGCATAGGCCTAAGGCAAGAAGATTGCTGCAAGTCTGAGGCCAGCTTAGGTACACAGAAAAGCCACCTTGAACTAAGTAAGCAAGACTGTCGCAGACAGACTGTCAGAGCAACCAATTAACCTGACTCTGCCTGGGTAACCTGCTCCAAATCCAAGGCTTCAGTTACCACCACAAAGAAAAATACCAAATCCGCTTTTATCCAACAACGACAAAAAATATTTGTACTTGGAGATACTATAAATACCTAAAATTGAACATAACCCAAATCAAATTCATCTTCTCATTTAAATTCATTCTGATCTCTATCTCAGTAACAGAAAACTGATCTAAGCTGCCCAAGACCAGCTGTAAATTTCCCTTTCAGTGCATTTTTTTTTACCACCCATATTTGATCAGATAATAGGTTGTACAGATTCCCATCTCACTAATATCTTTTGCATCTATCCTGTCCTTTTTACATCCTTAGGTTCTCAGTTCTGACCTTGATGAAATGCAACAGCTTCAAGAGACCCCTTACTCTACGTTTGCCTTTCCCTATCTGTTATTTACAATGATACAAAATAAAGTACAAATCTGTCAATTCCCTAAATCTTTAAGAGGTTCGCCATAACTTTTAATTAAACATTCCAGGAAATCCACATTTTCCAATGCTACCTCCTGATACACTTCCACTGATATCTTATACTCCAGTCACATGAAATTACTCATAGTAGCCCAAATTAAGCAGTCTATTGCATAAATGCTTTCAGCAAATAATGTTCTCTCTTTATTTATTTTTTTTTAATTTTTTTTTTATGTTTTGGTTTTTTTCCAGTACCGGGAATCAAACTCACGACCTTGCGCTTGCCAGGCAGGTGCTGTGCCGCTGAGCTAAATCCCCAGCCCCAATGTTCTCTCTTTAAAATGCCACCTTACCTTACCATTTTTAGCTAATTCTTACTCAGACTAGTTGTACCTTCATTCAAACATACCCGATTGAAAGCCATTTTAAAATAATATGACTACCATAAAAATTTTGTATCTTAATTTCACAGTGGGAATATTTTGTTATAATTTCAAAGCATTTTCAAATATATTCTCTCAATTTTAAAAACAGCCATGGGTCAGGGATATAGCTCAGTGGCACATACCCTGCCTGGCAAGCCTGTGGCCCTGAGTTCAATTTCTGGTACCAAAAAAAGGTCATGTGAGCTGGGTATGATGGTACATGCCTTAACTGTAGCACTCTATGCCTCTGAAGATCACATGTTCAAACACAGTCTGAACCAGACTACTAGACACACTCAAAATTAAAAATAGAAAAGCAGGGAGGAGGGCTAGGGATATAGCTCAGTTCAAAGGCATTTGGTCAAATCCCTAATACCACAAAAACAACAGTGATGACAAAAATAACAAACCAGTGATGGGAGACAAGCATTACAAGTCATGCTCGTATTACAAGTAAGATAATTTAAGATTATATTGAAAAAGGACAAAGAAACCAGTATTTCCGATTACTAGCCTAGTGCTCTTCCTAAAAACAACTTTCATTTAAAAAACTACTGAAGACCAGACTTGTCAAATTATTATGTGAAAGACATTTTCATTTAACATGTTTTACAGGAGTAAGGACTAAAGCAAGATAACTAAAAAAAGAATGTACAGAATTTGGGAATAGTTAAACTGCGGCC